CCCCAAAACCCCAAAACCCCAAAACCCCAAAACCCCAAAACCCCAAAACCCCAAGGGTATGATTATAAGGGAGATATTAAGAATTAGTATTCAGATAAATCAAATTCTTCATCTGAGTATACATGTTCATCTTCGCCAATGTGGTCAAGGTCGATGTCTTCTCAGTGATTGATGCAGAATTTCAGCTTCTCAGAGCAGATAGCATCGCTCGTGTACTTGGGTAGGATCAGTCTGAAGAAACATGTCTGGCTTGTTGGTAGCAGCGTGTCAGGGTCGCAGTCACGAGTGCTCAATTCGATGTGGAAAGAAATGCCGCGAAGCTTAGAAGGAGAAGGCAAGTTTGATCGTCCCCATACAAATCTCAAGAATTTCGATCGCTCCACAGAAGTAAAGGTAGCAAAGACTCTCCAGAATCTCTGAATTGTTTCGTTCTCTGAGTCACATGAGTTGTATCTTACTCAGGATTTGAGGTCTTCTATAGAGATTTCAAGTGAACCTCTAATCATAGCTTCTATGTCACTGCACTTTAGGAAATTCAAAGAATTTAAATCCATTATTCTGTTAAATCCTTTTCTAATATGATAAATTTGAGTATTAGCTTCTTCGGTTCTAGCCTTGAGGACTGCTTGACAATACTTTGACACATACTCATATGGCACTTTCTTAGACTCTCCATCTTGACAAAGAAGTACTGTCTCTCCGTCTGAGGTTTGAGTTGCCCAGGTTAGTTCATTTTGATTTTCAAACTCTTGTTTTGTCATCTATTTATAATTAGAAACTGAATACCTCTGTTCTGTTCTTTTGAATATTTTTGAGTGCTTGGTATGTATAGGCATCGAAATTTAACAAATCCTCCATTGTTATAGCTTCTCCAGGTTTCAACTGTTTCCAGAAAATAGAAGGAAGTCTGAAGTCCATCGGTTGTCCAGATCTGAGAGACATCCCCATCAAAGCTCCCATGAACTCATACATTTTGGAGTGATGATCTTGCTTTGCAGATGGGTTTATGGTCCAGAGGTCTCGTCCAGACCCATGATCATTACTATTATTCGGAGTTGGAATCAACAAAGGAAGGACAGAGCTATGGATCTCATCCAGCATGTTATCAATCGAAACTCGATACGGACCGCCAGCATCTTCACTATGCTCACCTTGGAAGATGACCTTCCACAGACTTCTGTCTGAGTTGGCCATTAAGGGTTTGTACTGATGCATCTGGATGTCTTGTCTGATTCTTCCGAAAATGGTCCATTCTCCTTTGTCATCAACCTCATTTGCGTCTTTTCTCTCTTGAATTTGTCTCCTATTTAATGATATTCTAATTGAGTTAAAGCTTCTCTGCTTCTGAGCTACTCATTTGTGGAGAAGCCAATGCTTTGTCCATTCCAGGGTTTGCTCCTTTGCAACTGAAATAGTCCTGCTTATAGTGAGATCTCTTATTTGGGGGTCTAGCCTCTCGATTAAGCTCTCTGACAATGCAGCATTTGAAAGTTTCTCTAATGCATTTCCATAATTCACAAAGAGCTCTCTCCTGGTGTTTACTTCTTCTTCAGAGATTGATCAGAGCTCTTCGGACCTGAGTTCCAAGTCTTCGTACTTGGCATTCTTGGGGTAAGACTCATCATCTGCATGGGGAAGGTAGAGCTTGTCAACAGCATGCTTTAGTTCTTCATCCAATTCAGGAGTAAATTTCGATCGAGCTATCTCCTTTGACCTGTAATATTTCACATGAAGCTCAATCGCTTCCTTATCGATGTTGTGAGAGTATTCAGGCCAGACTTTGATTTGCAAATGGTTTCTATCGTAATCTTTGAAGATTTTTCTAAAATCAAAAGCAGGAAGGGTCTTATTTGGTTTCAGTCTTGTTTTAAGCCGATACAAAAGGCTAAACTTCTTTATTTTGTCTCTCATGACTGCATTCTCACTAATCACTAAATCTTTATTGACATAACTGTTTCAGGGAATATAGACAGGATAAGGATCATGTACATCAGTAGCTTCTAGACAATCTTTTAAGTCAATGTCAGGCCATTTAATTTCTGAAATATTCTCAATGTAGTGGTTAGTTGCATATCAAATGTCAGGGATAAAATCTAAAATGTTAGCCTTGTAGTTTTACCTCTTTTATCATCAATTAGTGAATATCCTTCTTTTGATAGATACACCCATCAATCATTCTAAAAATAAAAAAATGTGCATACCTTTTTAAAGAAAATCATCAGGCCAACAATTGGAGATTTTTCTGTGATTTCTCAAGTATAGCCATGATGAATTGAAGGTGAGTTATATATACTTTTGTTTTTGTCTTCTTCTGCGATTATGAATCAAGTATCATCTACTAAATCAAACGATTCGATTCTTTTGTCTTCTCAGAATTTCAGATTAAGAACTCCTTTAATACTGATATCGCTTTTATCAACTCCCTTGATCAAACCAGTAGCCAGTATTTGTATCTTTTCAGGATTATCTCTTGGTGAAGCCTTGATCAAAGCCATGGATGATCCACATTTGACTTCATGAATGAAATAATTTTCAAATTGTTCCAATTTTATGAGTTTGTAGAATGTATCTTCTTCGTGGTTTCCCAAAGCTTTGTGTGTGTTGTTTCCCCATCCATAAATGTATCCATCCTCCGAGATTGCAATTCCCCAATCAAGGTAGACACTAGCATCTCTAATTTTAATATCTTGGCAGTCATAATCAAGCGAAGAGAATTGAAGAGACCAGGTGATTTCTGGAGATTGAGCTAGGATATAATTTTTACCCCCTCCTGCAGACCAAAGTTCTTTGCTTCCATTATTATTAACCAGCATGAATCAGACTCGAGAACCATCAGGTCCTCAGTAGCATCACCCGAATGGCTTCATTGGGATAACACCTTGTTCGAATATGACTTCTCTGTAACTTGAGTCTACCACAACTTGAGTCTCAACTAAGCTTATACCTTCATCAGTGACGACATATCATCTTCCTTTCCGTGTGGTGTAAATGAGATAGTTGGCTCCTACATCCCAGTGAAAGATTTCTTCCTCATTTCCATTTGGTTTCTGGAGGTACTTATCCCGAATCTTAAGCTGATCATTGTAAACATTTGGAGAAGTAAGGTCATAGCAAAGGAATTCACCTAATCTAGTCAGAACTCCATGGGTTTTTCCCTTGATCTTAACCTCCTTAGCTAAATATCTAGATGTAGAAAGGATAACTTGTTCTCCAAGATAACTTTCTGCACCTGGAGGGTTTTTAGTTTTATATAACGAGCCATTTCCCATGAGAATTAGGGTATGCCCACCTGATTGTTTAACATCCTTGACATTCTTTTCAAGGCCTTGAATACAAACAGGGAAATCAGTGACTTCTGCATTATAATACTGATCAACTGAATTTTCATCCTCACCTTCACTATCCAGGTCGACTACATAATTAGAGATAGGCTTACCATTGTCTTTTACAGATTTCCTGACTCCAAAATACATAACTGTCCTCTGAGAAGGCTCAATACCTCAATAGAAGGTGTCACTGTTGATGAGGTACGAGCTACTCTCATTCAGAGGCCTGCTTCAATCTGACCTCGTCAATAATTCTGTACATTCTCTATCTTTGAAGAAATCCACCCCTTTTAGGGATATAGCCGAGGGATATCTTTGAATGCTGACTGAGAGAGCTTTCTCACCTGGAAATGTTATCTTCTGAGACTTTTCATTAACATCCAAGTCTATTGTCTTTTGTTTGATTATTCCATTCTTTATTAAATAGTCGATGTACTGAGAATAGTACTGCATCTCAAAGCTCTTGTGTTCTGAAAGGATTTGAATATCTTTGAGGAAGCTAAGTCATGCTCCTGTATAGTAATAAGATGAATCAATGAAAGGGTATCTGTCATCAATCATTTTGATAAATTTGAGTATCTCAGCATATGCTTTGTCTTTGTTCTCTAACTTGTCATATCCTCTCTCAACTTTCTTTGAGATTCTGTCTACAATCATATATTGAATAAAGCCTACCTATCATTTCATGTATAGAATCCATATTCAAGAGTTTCTTGATTGTTTTTTTATTAATCTGTCTGGTGGCCTTCTGAGTTGATGGATAAATCAATTTCAGTACTGTGTATGTAAGCTTTCCAACTAATTCATCTTCTTTGCTAAAAAGATCTATGAACTCTAAAAATAGCTCTATGAGTCCTAAGTTGGTTTCATCATCGAATATTCTTTCACAAGCTTTGTGAAGTAAGATCTCAATTAATTCTGGGAGAATTTCCACACTAAATGCATTACTTTCTTTCTCTAGAATTCTATTGTACCAGGTGATGCCATTTTGATCCAAGAAATGGAGCTTTGTTATTATTTGAGCATTTTTCTCAATGATATTAACTTTCAGTAGAGAATCAATTGTAATAAAGTCTTGTGCTGTAGTAAGGGATTTGATTGTAACTTTAAATAATTGTAAAAAGTCAAACATAGGAAAGTCATTATTTATTCTCGATTGCTCAACTGCTTCATTTGCTCTCACTACTAAGAACTGGACAAGATCTTCTTGACTCCCTTCTGAAATGATATAAGCCAGTAATCTACTGTGATTCACATTTTTCAGAAGAATTTCTGTAACTGAATATGACAAAGTTTTGTAAAACAACCTCAGCAGGGAAATATATCTCTTATGCATCATTCAAGAAGTAGACCCTTCAGGAGATTGGTTGGCAATGATTGAGAGTATATTGTTTTCAGTATCAGAAGAATTCAAACAACTTTTTGAATGGCCAGAAAAGGAACTGATTTGCCTACTCTCTTCTATCTTCTGGAATCACTCTTGTTTCTGAGCTGATGACTCTTTCTCTTTGTTGTTTTTGTGAAGATCTTTAGATAAAGATAGCCAGAAGTCAGTAAAATAGCTAGATATCCCAAAAGCATAAGGCAAGTCTAAACTGGTATAGTCTTCTTCTCTTATCTGTGCAGACACATCAGATTTAGCTGTATCACAGATATTAGACTTAGTTCGCTGATTGACTCTGTCTAAAAGAGATCAAGGCTCGATTTCAGAATATTCCCTGAGTCCAGAGATCATTAATTCAATGTTAGGGTGTGGATTAACTCTTTCATAAGTTTTAATAAAATATGCTGTCAGCTGAAGAATCATTTTATGGTCAAGATTGAGTTTTTGGAACTTAAATCAGCTTGAATGCATTGAGTCTTTCCCTTGTAAGTCCTGACATCTTGGTTCTATATCCTCAGCTTTGTTGTTCATGTGAACTAATATTTTGAGTATAGCTCATTGCTTGTGCATCATAAGAAAATCATTATCGTCATGACTGCTTATTAAAGTCGGAATTATCTCTTTTAGCAAAACTTCAATAGGATTTGGAAGTCCAGAACAAGCATCTCACTGTAAGGTTTCCTTCAAAGGATCAATAAGATGGAATTTTGAAGAAGAATTTGAGATTCATAGCAGCATTTGATGCTCCTTGGTTGGATAAGGCAATACCTTTATATCTGATAAACAAAGTGATTCTTCGTCACTAGGAGTTTCAAAGATTTCTCCTATTTCATTGACAAATCCTACAATACTAGATTGAGTTCCTTGGGCATTTCTAATAGAGGCTCCTGGGTGAAGAGATGCATAATCTCCTCCTTCTCATAGAGAAATCAGAATATCGAAGTCGAAGATTGAGTAAGAATGAATACCATCTGCAAACATCTCTATCTCCTTTTCTAATATGTATCTGTAATATGTTCTACGGTCAGATGTGAGTATGCTCTTGAATAGAGACACAATTCCATGACTCACATCTAATCCATATGCATTTTTCTTTCCTTCATGAAGCTTAGCCTTGGATTTGAAGATGAGTAATTTAGTATACATTCACTCGAGGAATTTGCTACCTTCAAGCCCAACTTTTGTGTCTACTCTGACTTCTTGCTTGAGTTCTCTATTATGAGATAGAACAAGCAATGATTTCTCTAATAGCTTATGATCAAATCCAAGACAGAGCAAGTTCTGAAGAATCCTTAGTATAATTAGTTGTATCTTGGCGTTTTGTTTGAAGTAGAAGCTCAATCAGTAGTTCAAATTTTCCATGTTCATAATATCCAAGATTATAAGAGCAACGAATGAGTTAGTTCTTCCTAATAAAGTGTATTTCTCAAGAATATGTAATAGTTTGATCACTCTGAGAGAGGAACTTAAATCCAAAGGCTCCCGATAGTGATACTTCGAAGATTTGAGAATTGTGAACATAGTCGTAAATCCTTTCAATAGTAAAGATTTTGTGGCTTTATGATTGATGGAGGAGTGAGCAGTCTTAAGTTTCTTTAAGAAAGAATCTGAACTTGATGCTTTTATCTTCTTCTGTTCATTTGTACTCAATGCTCAATATCAAGAGTTCATGATGAATTCTAAATAATTAGTTGTCATGTGCATAATTGACTCTTGTCCATCCTTCAAGAAATATGTGAGTGGATCGTCTCAGTTTGAGCCAGATAAATTTAGCTCTTTATAGTATTCTCTTAGAATTATTTCTAGGATCCCACTATTGTGAATCTGGTCATGGTCATTGGCACTGAACTTATATCTTAGACTGGAGAACAAGTGTTGGAAGTCTGACTTGTTAGTTTTCACTAATTTTTGAGTGTTTAGAGAGAAAAAATCAAAGAAGGAGTCTCTTCATTTGTTAAGCAAGAAGGTTCCAGCTCCATCTAGTCCATCTGAGTAATGAGGTATATTTATCTTATCATTCCAGAATCAAATGTCTATCCAGCCAAATAACTGGGATTTAACATTTGAAGCGAGATTTATCTGAGCAATTTCTTGAAAAGATTTTAATCCATAATACCTTCTCATTCCTTTAATAAATTGAGTTTCTACTGAGCAAAGAATGTCTTGGTCAGAGATTGGTGATTGCAGAATTGTTAACACACATGATGTAAATGAGGTTGCAGCATCTCCACTCTTTCCACCTCTAGTATTAATTCTCCTTTGCTCCTCGCCTTCCAATCTGCAACTCCTCTCCAATTTCCTTTCCTCATCTCCCCCACCTTCCTCCTCTTCATCACCTCCTTCCTTCCACCTCACAGGTGCCAACCTCACAAGTATCTCCACTTTCAGTCTGACCTCATCCACCATCAAATCTGCAACTCTCCCAATTCTCTTCTTGGCCTGCTCATCTTCCTCTTCTTCCACCTGTGCACACTTGCCTTGTAGCCAGACTCTGATCCTACTGCAGGCTTCCCACTGGGCCATGGCCCAGTGGAACCCGGCAATTTTGGTCATGCTCTTGGTAAGAGTGGCAAGCTTGGCTGCAGAAGTAGGGAGATTTTGGGAAGGAGACAGGAAGGATTTTAGGTGAGAGGTGAGGGAAAGGAGGAGACTGGACTGGGAGTGAAGGGAGAGAGTAGCGGCGAAGGCGAGTCTTGTGAGGAGGGTTCCTCTCTCTCCTTGAACTCTTGCTATTGGGTTCTTCTTTTGTAATAAACTCCACTGGAGTAATTCTACAAGCTGTTCTATAGTCTGATTGCTGCCAACTTGGGTGAGAGACAAAATCAATTCAAAATCTTCTTTGATTCAAATATCATTAAATTTCTTCTCTATCTGAAAATCTCCAGTTGCTTGGGCTATGGATTTTATCTCATCTTGGCAATGGAAACCCAATATGTCTATAAACTCAAATTTAATTCCTCCAGACATAATATGAGCTTTCATGATGTCTCTTCAGATTTCCTTGGTTTGTATTTCAGGAAAGACAATGAAACTATGCATTATTTTGGCCAAAGCCCATTGAATGGACTTCATGTAGTAGGGAGTGCTTGTATCCTTAGCACATAATAAATCATCATTACTTTCGTTTCCGGAGATTTGGAAGTAAGCATAGTTACAAAATTTGATAGAGTAAACCACTCACTCAGTGAACTCACCCATTGTTTTAAGCAGTTCTGTAGATTTTCGCTTGATTAACTCATAATTTTTATCTAGCTGGTAAGTTCCATGGCTGGCGAACATCATCAAGTATGCATCAATCAATAAGAGAACTCTGAAGGCAGGATTCATCATTGAGAAAAGAGTCTGAAGATAAGAGTCGTAAATCTCTAAGGCTTCTTGAAAACTATATTGATGCATGTACATCTCAAATACTTTAAAGTTTTTCACAAGATTTCCAGTGGCTTTGTGATAAATTTCAAGCACAACATCTGCTAAGTCAGAGAATATGGTTGAGCAAGCTTCTGAATTTACGATCCTTTCTTCAAAATAAAATGAAATATCCTGAGCATCATCTTCAATGGATTTAAGTCTTTCTAATAGTTTTTTATTAGTGAGCAGCCATCACTCTCTAACATATGTATTCAGGTAATTAGACAGAACGACCTCATTGTTTGGCTCCTCTACTGGCATGTTAAAGTCCAGAATGTCTAGTAGTTGTATCTCAGACCCTTTCTTTCTTGTAAAATAAGCTAAAGCATCTTTGTAGAGAGACTCCAAAATTTGTTTTTCAGTCACTTTGTACATCACTGCTGAGTTAGACAGCATTCTAAATAAATCAATGGAGGTCTGAACAGAATTATGTCCAAGCTCTTGTTGGTACTTTTGAGTGAGTGTTTCAAGATGCTTTTGAACATCATAATCAAGTTCCTTCAATAATTTTTCGATACTTCTTCTAGTAAGAACTGTGTTAAAATGAATTGCTTGGCCTTCGAGTCTAGAGAATTAGTTTTGATTCTTACCTGCCCCACTTCTCTTCTTCAGAATTTTCTACTTCAAAGATCCTTGAGAGAGTATCTTTTAGTGTCTTCCAAAAAACTTCTTTTGCATTTGGACTCAGTATCTCATCAGGAGTGATCCTAAGATCAATCATTGATTGGAGAACTTTCTCACAAAGTCTGAGGACTAAGAATGTGCTATACTGGACTCTATATTTAAAGTTAGATCTTTATGAAGAACACATCAGAATGATCTGACATACCCTAAGCCTGTTTCGATCTTTACTGAACCATTTTCACACATTTTCTGGAAAGATTTCTCCAAATTCTTAAGTGCGATTACAAGCTGGCTTATGAAGAATTTGTTTAAATTGATTCCGTAAATATTTCTGAATGCAAGTGCATCTTCAATAGATATCTGCTTGTCGGAGCTTTGGCTATCATAATTTGATAGATTTCCTGAATAAATTTCGTAAGATATGATAACTCATAAATTATTGAAGAGGCTGAATAAGGCAACTTCGTTAAGGAAAATTGCAATACTTACTCGTATCGGTGGCATACTCAAATCCTAAGCACTGTAGGAAGATTATCTTAGGAGTAAAGTCTATTAAATTCTGATATTGCAACCTTGGCAAGGCTATTAGTGGAGACACCACCTCCTTCTTCAACCTAAGATGGTACCTTTTGGAGTTTCAACCTTCAGGTGCTAAATAGTAGGGTTAATCATTTGTGCTGTTAATTATCAAGTTTGAAAAAGATATGAGAATGATTCCAAATTAGCACCTTAATTCTATGGATACTTACAAAAATCAAAGTTTTCTACATCCTTCTCAAACATGTAAACTTCAGATTGCTCTTCAAGCACCACAATATAGGGGCAGATTTGGCCGGTCGTGAGATCGAAGAAGTAAATAATTTCTTCACAAGTAACCATCAATGTTGAGTCCTCAAGATAAAAGATTCATTCCATTATTTCCTCAGTTGAGAATACTTTCTCAAGATCACTGATGTTGGCTTGGATTCTCTTGATTTCTTCTTGGGAGAAATTTGATGAAGAGAGGTCAATGTCGAATATGAGCCTTCTTTTCTCAAAAAATTCCCACTTTGAAGGGTAGTACGACTCTACTTCAACATGAGAGAATTTTTGTCAATCATCGATGTATTTGACATATGTTGAAATCAGATAAACTCTAGCTCCATCAGTGAAAAGAGGGGAGTATTCTAATTTTCTGTATTCTGAAAGTGCTTTTGATTCGAGCACCAAAGCTAACTCCTCTGATTTTGTACATTCTACAACAGGTTGGTTCCAAAGGTGAGGTGAAGAAGGCAATATCTGGGATGAATGGCTTTGTGGATAAACACTTCCTATATAAGCAAAATTAAACTCACAAATTGTTTCAAAATTTCACTCAAAAATTTTGTCAAAAATCTATTTAGTATGATTTGATTCTACTTTCAACATCAAAACTAACCCCCTTGTCCAAACTATCATAATCCTCCTCCAAACTCTAAGCCAGCTTACTTTTCTCTATAAAACCCGATTCTGCTGAAAACTCCATAATCGGAAACTCTGCTTCCTTTTCTCTCCACACATAGACTCATTTCTCATTCTCTACGTATCAAATAGGTGCTGTTCCTCTGACTTTCACCTCATCTGATGTATTCCTTGGAAACACTTGGAGACCAGTTTCTTCACTCCAAGTGAAAATATGATCCTCACTGAAGGCCACGTGGTTAGCCTTCATTAGATGCCCTATTTAAACATTTAGCAACCCATGAACCCTAGGGGAGTCACTTACCTTTCGATTGGCTCTCATTTTGTAGATATGCCAAAGTTCTGAGAGAGCTTCATGATATGTTCTTATAGCAATCTTTTGGAAACTCTATCAATGTAGGATCCTGGCATGATAAGTTGTACAAAGTGAGGAAATACTCGCCTGAATATCTCAGACTTCCAAGCTTAGCAAGCACTTTGTGGCACATTCTCTTAACTTCTTTGTTTATGGTTGATTTGGCTTTTATTACCAAGATGTCTCTGTATTCAGCAATAAGTTGTTCAGTGACGTAAAAATCAACCTCCCAAGGAGCGAAATCTTTATCTACAATCCTTCAAAGCTGATTGTATGCAATGTCTGGTATGAAAGAACCACAAATCTTCCAGTTAGTTTTATTCGCTTCCAGAATTGATAGCACTAAAGACTTTTTCTTACAGTTTTTGAACCTCTGAGTGTCGATACATCAAACCTCAGATCTACCATTAACGATTTTCTTCTTCTCAACTTTAATCACTTCTAGCAATTTAAAGCTTAACTTCTCTCTGATAATGAAGGAACATCAGCACGACTAAGAAGTTAGAGAGTATCTTACCTTGTATAATATTATAGCCTTCTGGATCTGGTTGGACATAAACTCCTTCTCATCCTCTTGCTTCGGGAATACCTTCTTGAATCGTCTATCAAAGTCTAAAGAGAATTGACTTAATTAGATCTTTTATTTTGAGAATTTTTTGAAGCACAAATTAAAGATACTGAAAAATGATCAGGATTTCAGTAGAAATACTTACAATCTTGAAAATCTTGGTGTTGGAACCCTATTCCTGCCAACAGATCTTCCTTGATTTCATGGAAAGTATCTTCTCTTCAGTCTGCCACATCTCTGAGCATGAATTCATAAAGTTTGTCTCCACAGTACATCTTGATTAACTCTTTTTCCTATAAACAAAAAGAGGTCATGGATGAATCCACTTGATGGCCGGTTTTGAAGGACCCTCTAGTCTAGGCTATGGTTCACCACTGCAAGATGAGATAGGTATCCTAATGAATCCTAGCTGAAGGAAAGAAATACAAAATCTGACGGTTTCTGATTTACAGCTAAAAATTAACTTTATTTGCAGTGATAATGCTCATTGCTTTGAACATTACGCTTTAGCAAGCAGGCAAAAATTTTAGTGGAGAGCGATGAGATTAGCTCAGATTTATTTGCAGCTGCTGATACGCAGAAGAAAGCAAATGAGCTGAATCCCAATCGCCTTTAAGATATTAATTTTTAAACTTTAGAGAAATATGAAAAACTCTTGTTCGGAAATTGAAAGAAGAGACTAATCTTTTAAGTAATTTAAGGATTAGCAAAAGAGGCAACAGTGCTTATAATAATCAATAGGTTTTTATCCTATTTATTACAATTTTGCAATACTTTAAAGTAATTTTGAATCTCTTAGTAAGGTTTTGTAGCTTGCGAATAAGAACCATGTTTGATAAATTTGCTCATCATCCCTAAAAAAAAATTGCACTAAAAGGATAACTAAACTACTAAATTTCTTGCTCCTTACTTGAATTAAAAAATTCAGATTTGAAACTTGACAATTAAAATACCAATTTCCTACATTACCGTATACTTAATTACTAAAGTAAGCTATGCTTCTTCACCATCATTCCCACCGCTACTCAGGCAGAAGTGATGCTCTATGAATGCTTACCTCTTCCTCTAAACCCCCTTCGACTTCTGCATCTCTGAAGGGATTAAAGCAGCACATAAATTTCTTATATCCATAGCCTCTCAATCATGCTTCATAAAACTCAATTGGTCTTGAAATCCTTCTAGCTTCTTCTAAATCTCAAGGATCTGTAAGTGAAGCTCTTTTAATCCAGTTGTGAAGGACGGTATTACCCATTTTGGTAAAATAATTTATTTTGAGGAATTTGGGGTTTTGGGGTTTTGGGGTTTTGGGG